TTTTAAAGTTTGTGGCTCCGTTAGAGGGCGTTTATTGATATATGTTTATATAGAAAAGTAAGACTTATTTTTTGCTGTTATAGTTCGGCCAACTTATTTCAAAATCATTCAGGATAATTATATATTGCTTCATTTAATTTTAACCGAAATACCTTCGTATTTTTTATGAAAACTGTCCACACTTTGAATCTTTGGGTTTTCCTACAAATGATATAATGCTGTTCCCAATAACTTAAAGAAATTGATGCCCCACATCTCTTAGAAAAAATTATATATCAATAATATATATAATATATAATCAATCTATAAGTAAGCTAGTTCGACTCAACAAAAACCGACGTAGGAGGAATCCAGAAGTTTTATAAAAAGTATTACAGTAGCCTGTGGAAGTTTCTTGGAAAAAAAAATTATTATAAATATACAATCATTTGCCATTTGTAGCAATTTTTTTATATAAAACTCAACGACAAATGTCAAATGACAGTCAATTGTTTTACTAGGAGTCATTATAGCTTTTGTAGTTAAAAACAACAATTTCAATGTGCAATATACCTAAAATATCTGGAAACGCCCAAAGTCGCTCGCAGCAGTGTTTAACGAAGGTGACACCAATCACTCCTGATCATTACATAATTAGATATTTTAGAGTAGAGAGGAAAAAAATATTTTTATCCAAAATAATAATTGAACGCACTGAGAACCAAAACTCTAAACTAAAACTAGCTCATCTTAGCGATACCTATGTTATAGATCACAGTGCCTAGTCGTGGCGGGTATTGAACTGCAATCAAGCGTAGGTTCCCGCGATCCCCGAGTTTTTTTTTTGTTACCCAGCCGATTAGAGCTAGTCACATTAGTAATATACTTAATGTTAGTATTGTATGAATGCAGTTGTGGTTGTAAACTTGCTATTGTACCCTGTATATTATTTGACTGTTAATTAAGATAACAAAAATGCAAATTAATAATAAAGAAATTGACGACGCTACAAAACGTATCCTCCGCGAGGTTAGTGCCTTATGACTGCACTTGTTGTGCATTGTGCAGTAAGATGAGTACAAATACAAATTCCATATATTTTCACTTGCCAACCAACCAGCATTAAGCATACGTCGGTTAAGTAGTCAGAGATGGACAAGACACAAAAAAAATTCATTAATAATCACAGAAAGTGAAACCTACGATTGTTAGAAAGTCACATTATTTATTCCTGATCTTCAAGCGCAACAAGATAGAGTTCCTTTTGTTTAATTGTGAAACTGCAGAAGCTTTACCGAACATATCCTCAGAAATAGAGCAACAATCGGTGGTCCAGCAAATGCAGTACATTATGGTAGTACAGAATTTCAGATAGAAGGAAAAGTAAAAATAGCACATGCAATGTAATAAAAAAGAAATATTAAACAATTTATTATGTTAGGGTCTGAACTAGTGGACGATAAGGAAAATAATACTTCCAGTTTAGGACCATAATTTCTACAAAGAAGTTCATAAAGAAAATCTTGGTTTTGTTTCTTTACCAAATTAAAAAATGTAAATTAGCAATATATATAAGGTATATTTAAATATTTCTATCTATCAATCTAAATCACCGAATCATTCAAAAAAATGACTGACTTATTTGCCATGTTTAGAATATATGCGACCTCTGAATTTTTCACAATTTCTCAAATAATACAAAACTTGTTTTATTGCTAGAATTCGACCTAATATAGAAAGTGAAGCTTTGATTTAACGTGATTTTTAAAGCTCGGAATTTTATGTAAATAAAAAAATGGCACTGAAAGTACTAATTTAGGTTTGCTTAATTATTGGGAACAGCGATTTCCATAGGTTAACTTAAAAATACAGTATCCAAACTTATTGACGATCTGTCAGCGGTCATGTTGGTTGTTGAATGCCGCAGGGCCATTTGTTACAAGCGAGATTTTAAATACAGCACATGTGCATGTTGAATGGGCTTTCTCAAAAAAAATTCATAGTTGCTTCCTAACTTCCTGTACTACCGGCATAGGTTAGTTACTATCAGTTTTGGTTTCAGTTTTGATCAAGTCAGTAATATGCGCTGTCTTCCATTTAACTGTTGTAAACCTGTTTCAGATAATTATACCATAAAAGTTTTCTGTAAACTGTTTCGCAAAACCAAAACGCTATCATTGGTGCAATCGTATGCAGTGTAACTGTTTCACATGCATGATTTCTATTGTCTGTCAAGTGTTATTCTATCTAAGCATTTCTCGCGAGTGTTCAAACAAACTATTTCAATAATATCTAAACTAAAATCTAATTCACATTCTATTTTTTTTTTGGGGTCGTCGAGTCTTCGTAAGTAGCTTTCCTCTTCTGTTGGAAGAGATCATTTTCTCTCAAGCCAAAAGCATTAACGAGCAAGTAAATTTGCATTTCGCCTCGACGGTGATTCTAAAAGAAAGGGTTCCGCTCTTAAGTTTTATTAGCCATAAACTGAAAATGTGACTTACGCAATAGAATAATAAACCAGCTCTGAGGGACATTATTAAAAATGAAATACTTTTTCTTTATTTTTATTAAAAGCTCTTTTTTGATTATATTTTGTTCGCTCCAAGTAATCTTATGCAAGCAGTGATGAAAACGTATTGTGAGAGAAAGTTGCGTTATCATTATGATTTTCCACAAACCATCTTACTTTATACTAAATATACACAATGGTGTACAAATCCAAAAAAAGTCAAATGAGAAGGCAAACAAAAGACAATTTCTCAGACAAGAAATGTACACGGATACATACGTACACATATGTTTTTTGATATCAGTCGAAATACAGGGCATTAAATTCAAATTTTTATTCATTCATTTTCATTAATTTTTTGTGAAAAACATGAAGGGGGCGCCATCAATATGTAATTTTTTATTATTTTGAAAGTCTTATTTTTTCTGCAAGTGCTAATTACATTTTGCAAGTTACATGAAAAAATGACCCATCAGTTTTTCACAATAAAGGTATCTTTTCGCACTTTTGTAAGCGTTGTTGTTATTTATACATATATCAGTTTTTTGTTTTTTGGATATCTGTCTAATTTGAAATAGCAAGCACATCGATGTTTTATTCGCAGTGTCAGTTTAAATTTTTATCGGTCCTGTTATTATTTTATTCACAATATGGAATTTACGTCCAATGAATTTGCCGATTGTCATTTAATGAAAGCACGTGTTCCCGAATAAAGAAAAGAGTAGATCGCAAGTTAAGTGAGACCCTTAAGATTTACGATGTTGTACTGATTACTCACAGTGTAAGAAAATGCGTCAAATGGCTTAGAGGAGTTTGCAAAAGCCAGTCAAAATTGACGAAAGCAAAACGTTGGTGACGTGCACCTTGGAAGAGTTTTACACCGTGGACAAAGAGGCTGTGGTGAGGTTGAGGCTGGTCACGTTTGGTGAGGGTTTTTTTTATTCAATGTATTTTGGATTTTTTGATCAATTGTCCAATTCTAGAAATATTCAACAGTTTCCAAGCTTTTTAGACATCCATTATATATTTCGATCTCTAAATTTACAGATTGAGGAATTCGTTTGATGTCGCCACTGTGGGCAATAATTTGCTGATATTCCTCATCGCACTTTATGTCTTTATATCTCGACCCGGTTCAGTTTACTCGCTTTTCTAATTACCAAACTTTCTTGCATTTTAATAAATAGAAATTTCTCATTATGAAATGCTGGGTATTACATTTATTAAAAGTTGTATAACAATTTCGAATTTGACACAATTTAAGCTACTTCATTTGCAACTTCTTTTTTGATCGTAAAAAATTATTTGATATTGCTTTTCACTATTTATTTGATTTCGGACTGACGTAGTATGGCACTTGGTTTTTCCCTACCTAACTAAAACGAAAGTACATGCGTTTTAGCAATGTAGTAGGTGCGAGTTCAAAGTTTCATATAAATAATTTACCATTAAGTAATAATTAATGGTAATTAATAACTGATATTTCACAATTTGTATTATTTAAGTAATTTTTTAGGAATTTGTTAATAAAAAGTTATGCTATTATCAGTTTTTCTTAATACAACCCTTTTCTAGGTATTTCTAGGTAATTTTCCTTGAGCCATTAGTTGAAAAAAAAATATCTTCAAATATATTCCGACGAGAGAGACGAATGGGTTGAGCACGACCCTGGCGCGGCCAGTCAGTCGCGAGTCCGTGTTCGACAGTTCCAAGAGCTCGGGCGTTCGCTGCTGACGGAGTGAAGTCAAAGGTCGCTTGCTTGCCGCGTCTCACTGCCTTTCTTAAAAGCCGAGTATGGCGCTCGCTTGGGGTTAGTTAAAACGAGATGTCGGAACGCAGTAATATGTTGTATAAATAATCGACGGATATTATTATTATTAGTATTAAAAATGTTAGTGAAATAAATTTTAACACAATTAAATTAGAACAAAAAATGTTCAGATTTTCACAGTTATTTAACAATTTATGACAGCTGTTTCAGCAACACCGTGATAAAGGCACTAGTTACTGAAACAGTAAAAATCTGAACATTTTTTGTTCCAATTTAATTGTGTTAAATCGATTTTCATCAAATAAAAGCCACCGCAGTACAATAAATTTTAAATTCCTTTTGTTTCATTTCATTTTGACGATACCGAAGAGTTTTTGTATCCAAAAATGCAACAATATAATATCTTTCAGTTATTTGTGGCACCAACGCCAGTCAGTTTGTTCTGAGAAAAATATTTTCAAAAAATATGTTTTGAGTCAAATTAAATTTTTAATTTCATTTCTTTATCTTTCTTTCTAATATCATATTTATTGTTGTTTAGACAAAAAATTTTCAAGCTTACAAGTGAAAATATTGGATCTCAAAAATAAATTTTCTATCATATCAACCGTTAAATATTATAAAATGTGTTACATTTTAGGTATAGAGTTTGAAAGTAAAAAAATATCGGAAATAATTAAACCAAACAGTGACAAATAATATTTATTTTCAATGTATTTTTTTAATACTTTTTGTTTTCGTCATTTTTTTTTCTATTTGGGGTAACAGCATTTTTTGGATATTATTTGCAGGTTGCTCTAAGGCAACAGCCATGAAGATTCCGATAATCCACGAGCATATAATATCAGCGATGGCCGACTTAATCTGAAATATAGTTAATTGATGTTCAAAATCATGTACAAAAATAAAATAGGAACAACTTACAAAAGACAAAAATTCTACTTGTACTAAGCTATTTACTCCTCCTCCTCTGGCAAATACAATCGAGAAATGGAAAATGTACGTGCAATAACTAAAGTTTCCCAGAATGACGGCATATTTCCATTCGCAAATATTTTTGATCCACCCTAAAATACAACTATTAGTAATTAGATAATATTATTGTACCAAACCGATGAACGAATAAACGAAAAGTATACCAAGGTGTAATTTGATACATTAATAAAACTTGTAAGTAAATGTGCAAATCTACCTCCAATGGTTTTTCTCGACAATCCCAACAGACCTAGAGCAATACCAACAGCATAAAGAGGTTTTAAAATAGGTCCAAGGAGGACAGCGCTTATTCCACCCAGTGAGACTGATGCGACGTAAACAACGGTCAATGGTAGCAGTGCAAATGCCCATGGATAATATTTTTCGTACTTCTAAAATTAAATGTGTATAGCATAATAAGTAAAGCAATGAAAAAAAATACTCACAACGGTCGCGCGGTTATCTAGTCACCCAACGTTTGTTAAAGATTTTGAAATAATTATAAAAGTAAAAATTCTAAACTAAGTCGGCCAAATGTGATGCTGGGAAAGAGCAGGATTAGTTTTTATCAATTTTGAATTCATATTATACTTTTTACGTGAGGCTACATGTGTTTGTGTGTATGCTAAATAGCCTTTGCGTACCATTAATAATACATAAAAAACCAATAAAATCATAGCAACTAGAAGCCAATTTCAATGATAGAATTTGAATGTGTATAGGCGAAAGTTGCACTTACCATTATTTCGTTTAAATTCTTTGTCCTAAAGTAAAGGATCCCCATGCCTATACCAACCAAACTTGTCGACCAGTTAAAATAAAAGCTTGTATATTGCCAAATTAATTCTGGAATACGAAAGAAATTGTGCCGCTTTGTATTTCTGAAATGTCAATTAACAATAAAATATGTTGGAATTCTATTAATCAATAATACCTACTCCGGCGATAGCCTTAGAATGATATCCAAATTTCTGAAAAATGTAATTACAGCATTGAAGATTACAGTCGAAATGATCAAAACCAACAATATTTTCCTCGGATTGAACTTCCATTTCAGTATAAAATACAAAATTATCATGGTGATAATATAAAACTGTGTGTCGATTGCTAGATACCAAGTTCCCATATTACACTACAAATACACAATATTAACTAAATTTTTGTATGTAAGGAAACCTAGAATTAAACAGTTTTGAATAAAATATTTAGATATTTTTACAAACATACGGTAGTCAAATTCAATTATATAGAAAAAATGTGTGTAAAATGTAATTTTTTGTTCATTTTTACGTTTAAAAATGGTGAACCATTTAAAAAAAGAGTATGTGTCAAAAAAAATAATTTTACTTCCTATTCGGTTTCAGTTACGAAATAAATAGTGCGGTTGTTTTTATTATACTCATTATACAAAAAAATTAGACCAAGAGAAGTCGCTTGCAGTTTTCTTCCGGTAATATATTTATGAAAAAGAACATAAAGTGAAAGACTGAAAATTATCTTGAGCGCACTGGATCCCTTGTCCAAAAAATTTGAATAAAAAATGTGATCTACGATTAGATAAAATAAATACTTTTTCTGCAATATGAAAATAATTTTCAAAAATTACCATAACAAACCTCCATAAATTCCAAAATTAATACTGTTTCATTGATTTTGTGAATAATCCTTTATATTATAAGATAATTTATCCACTTACGATTTCGTGTGGGTGTAATAAATTACTCGTGTGGAACAGTGTTGCCCACCAGTTATGGCGACAGGCACGCGCGTTCATATACACCAAATCAAAATTTAACGGTCCGGTGCTGAGGATGACTGCAGGAGTTCGGAAAAGCACTACCATGAACAGTAGGGTAGGAAAGTATCTAAAAAAGTACAATTCTCATATATTCGTGTATAATAATAATAATTACATCACCACCTAACTACCCTATTTAATAGCAATATCATGCTATCTTTGACTGTGAATCTTCCATTGGCTCCATGTATTTCTAAAACGTGGTTTGTAAGAAGCCACGACGAGACAACAAAAAATGTTTGAACTAAAAACACATCGAGCACCATTGAGAGTTGGAAAAATATGTGTTGGTAAGCCTAAAAAACAGAAATATATGACAAATTAATTCAATTGCTAGAAAACTTCTATATCTATAAATGTTATTGGACGAAAATCGGCCAAACTTGATTTTTGCACGTTTCCCAACTGAATATTCCAATAATAGTTTTATAAAAAAATGCCCTTTTTGGCAAGTAAAGGCCAATATTTTAAAACCTTCGTAAATTGATTTACCTATTATTTTAAAAACTATCCCCGAGATCAAAATTTTCTAAAACTCTTTAATAAAAAATGTGCACGTTACAACATCTAAAACCTAATTTTGAGCGTTATAATAGAAATTATTTAGCTAACTTAAAAAAAAACGAACTGAATTTTACTATATTGGTCGACTTAGTCAGTTATTATCTAAATCCACAATTCTTTAAAGTGACATTGCTTTGTCATTAAGTCTTTTTGTTGTAAAATCCTGTAGAAATGTATGTACCATATTTTAAGAACACACTTTAAAACTTAGAGGCTCTAACTGAAGTGGTCATAATATATATGTATATGCCCACGGGATCTTAAATTGATACATCCTATCAGATTTTGCATATAAATTAGCACTAATTTAAATGAATTTTGCTCCTTTAGTAAATGCAAGCAACTGAATTTGTCATAACTAAAAGTAAATTATTGATTAAACAAATAATTAAATTGACATTGCTTTGTCATTAATAATTTTTATTGTAAAATCCTGTAGAAAATTATGTGCCATATTTTAAGAACACAGTTTAAAACATATACGCTTTAACTTATACAGTAGTTATATATGAATACGCAAACGAGACATCCTATCAGGTTTTGCATTAAATATTTAAACGAATTTTACAAATTAACAATGAGTCATGAAAACACTAATTAAGAAAAGTGTCTAATTTATTTAAAACGGTGGATGTTAAACGATCATTAAAATTACTTCTCCCTAGGCAGCACCTACTTGCTCTATCGCTTCTGGATTTGACACAAACAGTTGTGCCCACGATAGTTTAGTATGACAAAATATCACCAATGTCATATTGTAAAATCTCACAGCTTGAATTCCTCGTAGCCGATTAAAATCACTATTTGCAGTTTTATACCGGGTCAGCTTTTTCCAGTTAGCGGACACCGAAAAGCAGAATATCCACTCATCCACTAAAAAATACAAATATATTCTTTAAATAGATTTTAACAATAGTCAACAAGCTTCCTGCTATTTTCAAAGTTTTTCAAAAGAAGTTTTGCGTAATAATATGAACTTTTCTATAATTTATATTAAGCGGTAGAGTTTTCCAACTTAATTTATTGTCATTTCGCTTCTTTAATCGTTCTTATAAAATCTCATTTTTATTTCACTTTTGATCAGATTTATTACAAATTTGAAAAAATCGTTACAAGAAATACTTACTTACGTTTACTGTCTGGCTTTAATGGTCCCGATTTTCTTTCATATATTGTTGCATAGACAATAAATATCAAATATAAGACAATAGCACACCTATGCAGAAAATTTAAAGGGTCAATAAAATGTTTATGGTAGCAAACTGCGATAATGAGTTTACTTAGCTATGCTAAGTATACATTGAAACTACTTACAAAAAATATTTTTCCAAAGACGAATGCTGCTGTTCTTCTTTGCAAATAACTTCACGCACATTGGCTGACAAATTGAAACTTTTTAATTCTTCACCAAGCTTGCTTTCTATATATCTCAATCTGTTATAGTTTAGCCGCAATTTCTTAGGAACACAAATACCACGCTCGAAATACTTTCTGTCAAAATGGGTGAAGCTGCGTGACCGCAACTAAAATAAAAATCGCGAGTATTCCACTTGCAACTCAATGTTTTAGAATACTGTGACATTACGACAAAGCAGGTAAGTATTATACAAACTATTCACGGTGGATTTCTGGAGTACGGGTGGATTTATGCCGACAACCATTAAATAAATGAACAAAAAAAGTTTGGGTTTATCAAATAAAATTGGCAGCTTCTTTGACGCCAGTTAGAACAATGAAATTGATTTTCATTTTAAACAACAAAGTATTGAAATAGCAAATAAATGATTTCGAAGCTTAATCGGCAAATAAGTGGAATTATTCAGAAAGTGTCAAATGGCATCATTGTGTGACAAAAGTCATTGCAGCTTTAATAATTAATTAATTATTATTATTAGTTAAAAATGTACTCGCGCAAAGCCCAGCTTGTCCTGAATTGGTTTACATACTTAACTGATTTTCCAATATTTTTATAATTTTAATGATTGTTTAGTAACTTAATGCTTCTTTTAACCAACATGATCCTCAATACACAACCACCATTTGTTAATTTGACTAAATGATGTCTAAATGTCTAAATTTATAATGCTTTGAAATGAAACGGCTAGCTTAAAATCTAGAAAAAACTGTTCTTCAATAGTTTTTTCTCACGAAACTGTCACTGAAAACTACTATGGGACGGAAATAATTAATTTAACTTACTTCAATTTCATTCCAGTACTGGGGTCTGGGTACAGGTTCGTTTATTTCGACGTGACATATACAATAATCGTTTTCGTGGATTTTTGTACATTGACTGAAATCTTCTACTGCATAAATAGGAGGAAATTTCTCTAAAATATAAGTGCAGTTTATAAACAAACCGTTTGCTACAGGATGTTTAAAAAATAACTAATTTTCAAATTAGTTCCTTTCTGAATAAGATAATGGGATGAAACGTACAAACAAATATTGAAAAAATTGTTAAGGTGAAACACTTTTTAATCCCTTTTATTTAAAGTGTACCAAATTAAAAAAAAAACTTACTTCCAATAAAATTCAAAAAAGACTTTCTTCCATTACAATTTATCCAAGAATCGTCTGATAATTCAAAGAAGCTCAAAAAGTTAGAACGACCTAATTAAGTGCCTAGTTACATCTTAATTTCGACACACAAAGGTTAATTTCTAAACACTCTCCAAAGAAAAAACATCGCAGTTTGTAGAGTCGGCGCTAATCGAGAAACGCCCCAGGATTCACCAAAGACAATTTGGTTGAGAAAACAAAAATACTTAAAAATAAGCGATGCTACTGCTTATAACGTAAACGACGAAAAAAGAAACGCCTCAATAAGAGATGCGATGATTATTTCGTGCTCCGGAAAAGGACGTCATGGGCTTCTGTAAAGCCGACATGCCTACGGCTAACTATTTTTATTTAGAAAATTGATACCGATCGTTATCTACGGATAAACCCTTTTTCCATTAACAGTCCAATAATTTTAAAATCGACTCACCTTCAATATTTAACGCACCGACACCCAAAACAAACCAGGTGGCTAACAAGACTTTCATATCGTTGATTTAGCAACCTATAAATTAGTTTATCTATTTCAGAAATTTTATTAAGTATCTTGAAATTAGATGTTCCATAATTTAATCGCCATATAGGATGAAAAAGGTGATAATATAAATGAAAATAAGAAAATTTCTTAAATAAATGTGGTGACTAATGTTAGTTATTATGTGATACAAAACTCCAACTCAATTTCAAAATATTCAAAGTTCAAAATTCAAAAATAGTAGTTGTTAATTTGAACCTAATATTGAAATATTCTGTTAACAATTTATCACCTTATTTTTATTCTGTATAGAGCGAATATTAATAGTTCTATAGAGCGAAGTAAAAATATAAACTGTAAATCTGATTTACAGTAGGTAAATAGCAGATATGGCATTCCTAAATCTACCCCAAACCAATTCGACTCGATCTCCGCAAAATTCTAAGTAAATCTTTTCATTAACCCTTCAAGCCGATTCCCTAAAGTTTTTGAAAATAAAACAAAAATTAGAAACTCTATATAAATGAAATTTATAATTTACGCCCAAAAATGAAAGCTAAATGTAAATATTAAATTGCTTTAAAAAATCGCCGCAACAAAAGTATCTGCATATCGAATAATTTATACAACGGTTTTAGTTCATCTATTAGTTATTTTCTTGTCATAAATTTCATGTCTCCATTTGCATGGTGAAGAAAACATTGCGGATATAAGTATTGACTTTTATTAGGTAGTAATATCCTAAAACAAAAATGGGAACAGTTTTTGAAAAACTGGAGGACCTATTAGCTGTTAGCAGAAATTAGTTTTGTATATGATCGGAATCTGATCGGAATCTGTGGCTTAATATGGTGTAGACGTTCCATTTGAAATACCAATGTGGTTTGCCGCAGAACGGATTTTCATTTAAACCGGCTGAGGCTCAAATTTAAAGAACGCCCTTTTTAGTTTTTCAGACATTTTAGTGGGACGCCTAAAGTTAATGATAATGTACAAAAACATTTTCGCCAAATAAAATCGAACACTAAATAACAAGAAGAAAATTAATCTAGTAACATTCAGCTTTATCATTTGTAATTGTTTTCAGTGAAATGTCCAATTAATTATACACTAAACAGCTACAAACTAAGTGAAATAATATGTTGTGTGTACCTTATTTTTTATTAGCGTCACAAGCACAAAACAAATCAATTCTACCAAGGTTGGTGAAAATTCACCAACTAAAAATGTGCCGAAACCACGATCTGAACTAAATTAATTCATAGCTAAAAACAGTGCTTCGGTTTCGATATTTCCCTTAATCAGCTTTTTTATGAAACTCTGTTTATATTTGCTCATTAATTTAAAATTTGCATTGAATCAACCGACAGTGGCGGACAATCAAATAACGGGTTTAATATAATTAATTGCGATTTCTGATAGAAACGGATGTGTGTTTAAAATCATTGAATAATGATTATGCGACAAGTGTGGAAACGGAATTTGACTCACTAGTTTTGGTTGGCCCAAGTGGCTTGCAGCCCTAAGTATCCTAAATGAGGACAATTTTCGCACGCTCGATCCGTGTATAATTTAATAGAAAGGAGTAGAAAAATATATTTTTTATCTTTTGCAACTTTTGTTTTTTAAGGATATTTGAATTTCTTAACAGTATAGCATATATTTTTTTCATATTCGTTTTCAATTTTTCATTTCATATTTTTTGGTGTTATTGAATTGAAGCACATCCGATATCTAGTAACTTAAAATCTTTTGAATAGTTGGTCAAAGTGTTAATTTCAAACGCGATAATTAAAGTACGCCATAGCCGTAAATTTTAAATCACGAACTTTCACAACATTCGTAAACAAAATTTAAACATAAATATAAATCGATAAAGAAAGTGGACTTGAAATTCGAAAAAGCATTCGCGGCGTTTTGAAACATTCTCTGATGAACGCTACGTTCTCAGATGTGCATTTTTGTAAAAAAAAATCATTAAAAACATACATTTTTTGGAGAGAAATCTGTTGCTTTATTCAGTTCTTCAGGTGACGAAAAATTAGAAACTCTCAATTTTACAATAAGCTATGAAAATTTTATTCGTTTGAACAAGATGGGAACTTAATTTTTCTTTCCAATTTCAAATATATGACTTTGACATTTTAAGGCAGTCGTTTTGTAAGTGTTAAACTATATAAACTACCAAAACCTATCACAAAATTTCGTTGTTCTCGTTACCTTTGCCATCATTTTCCTAATTCAATTAAAATTGACCCCTAGGTCTCACAAGGAAATTCTCGGAAATGCGCCATTTCCACGGGATTGTAGCAGAAAAGAGGATTTCGAAGTTCCTTCGTCTAATAATTTCGCTTAGCGCAGGCGACCCTGAATTTAATTCTAGATCTTACGCGGTAATACACAAGACTGTAATGATCGACCGATAAACGAGTTTTGATGGAAGTACCAAAAGATTAGTCTTCAATTTTAGAAGAACAAATATTTTTTTAATATACGTGCTTGTTCCTATAACTAGTATTCTCGCTATTCCACCTTATTTTTCAGCCAATAAACATTTTACTGTTTTTTTTTCTTGATAAGACTATATGGTTCTTCAAATGGAGCGGGAACGTTAAAAAAATGCGTTTTTGTATTTTTTTTTATTTATTTACTTTTTAATAAATTTTCATCGCTATGACTCATTGGTACTTTCTTCGCATCCTTCTTTACTTGAGGAAGCAAGAGTTTTTGGATATTAATTCCAGGTTGTTCAACTAATACGGCCATAATAATCCCCAAAATCCATGATACTATGAGATCAATTACTATAGCATATATCTAAAACAAAAACACAACAAATGTTTTTAGCTATACCTAAACACTTTTTGTACACCCCCATACAGTATACATATGCGAGTACAAACCGACATTGTTACATTACTAGATAGAGGAAGAAATTAATTAGTTAATTAGTAAATATATTAATATTTATTTCCTTTGCTACAAGAAAATACGCACACTTTCCAGCGAAATCTGACATAGCAATACATTTTCAACTACTCTACATTTAACTACTATTTAGTTGAGTAAATATACCCAAAATTTAAATCACAAAATGGATGATATGAGGAGTGAAAATGTATTGCGCGCTAAATAAATGCATCACCAATTTTTGATTTTCATTCACGTTTGCTTGACTTCTCGACTGTTAGCACTGGGACTTTCACACACAAAAATTGTGCATCAGTTTATGTTCTCCATGACCAGAATGTTTCAAAAATTAAGATTCCTAATCCAAAACGTGCTTTCCTTCTTTTGTCCATAAATGGACGCACCTATGCACCCTAACCAACCATTTAGAGACACGCCTCTACAAAATTTGCAGCTCTGGAAAAAAACCGCTACATCGAAGGTAACTTTAGGTAAAACGTGAATGCCATGTCGTTATACATGGAGCACGAAAGTATTATGTATACTGTTGGCAATTTTTTTTATTATATAGATATGTACAAAATTGGTTGATATAGTACACAAGTACTATTTTGCATGTTGTTGTCGAATGAAGAAAAACAAATAAATATCCTGTTTCTGGAAAAAACATTTTTTCTGAATAAGAAAGTCTATAACACCCTCAAACTGTAATCTGTACAAGTCTAAGTAACTCACCACTTCTTGCCAATTCGTTTCCGACACTACATGGTTGTAATTTCCTCTAGCAAAAATAACAGCGAAATGAAAAATGTAGGTGCTGAAACTGAAGTTTCCCATGATGACGGCATATTTCCATTCGCAGATGCGCTTTGCCCAACCTAAAACCGGGTGGTTATAGAAAGGTAGAAAATGTTATGTACAGTCTTAGTTGGATACAAAAATAATGCGGCTAGTTTTAATATGGTTACAAATCTAATCTACCTTTGATAGAGTTTCGGGACATTCCCAGAATTCCTAACCCGACCCCAGTTGCATACAATGGTTTTAGTAGAGGTCCAATAGAGATGGCTCCTATTCCTTTGGTCGGAATCGAAGCTGTGTATATCACAACCACGGGAAATAGATAAAAAACCAGTGGGTAAACTACTTTCTCATACCACTAAAAGTAAATACGTTTATGTGATATGTGAACTGCATAATTGTTAATTAATTTGTTACATAATGTCAACCATGCATTGATAGTGGAGCCTTAATATTAGCTCCAGAAATAGGTAAATGTTGTTTGTAAACTAAGTTTTGTATGACATTATTTTTTAGAAATATAGCCTTTCGAAGCCTTCAGATTCTTTCAGTTTTAGAATTTTCAAAGTCACCAAAACCAAAATTTTGGCAATATTTTAGTATGGCTTCAAATAAGATCTTATCCAATGACGTTATATCCAAAATAGATCAAAGAAACCCCAATATTTGTCCAACCAATATGAAAATCACGTTCTAATCACACGTAAAATTACTATACATTACGAAAATATATCCCACATAGACTATCAGAGTCCCAGATATGATTTAAAAATCCACTAGTTCGGGCAAGTTTCGTAAAGGTGGTTCTTAAGTCAGGAAGTCCGCTCTACCTGTCGAAAGGCATCAGGGATATCGAAGGCGGCCTTGCGCATATATACATAATGAATGATGGGCTGAGGGGTTTTTTACCGTACACAGAATAATATTTTTATTTATTAAAAGGAATGGATAAATTAGAATTTTTTGTACGAAAGTGACTTTTTGGAAGTGAAAAGGTGTTTCAAAGACTAATAACAAAAATGCTGCCATGTGAAGTTTGCAACTTGCATGCAAGAACTTAGAGTTTGATTTCCGAACTGTCATTTCATGTGTATGTAAACAAATCGAACTAGTGTTTTATAGGCAGGTGACCTTTTTATTTCTTGTGCAATTATGGTAAGTAGTATGTATTTCATGTTTCCAAAGAACGCTCAAAAACGTCGCATATGGTTTGGATTAATTTTAAAAATGTGTCAAATTTGATTAATTTCACTATTTATAATATATTAATAAAAAATTTAATTTTGTTACGTTATAACCTCACAAGATAATAATTCCGTGCCTTACTTAGTTACCATAGCAACCATTCAAATTAAGGCAACACTCCTCATCCCACTCGTCCCTAGCCAAAAATAGTTGCAACAAAACAACAGCAATTTTATGAATTACTTATGAGGTCTCTTTTAGTTGCACGTCTGTCACCTTCTGCATCCCCGTGTTATTACTTGTTCATCAGCGCTTAGATTTGCCATGGTTGTCAACATAAACCGCGAGTGTGTGTTTTTTAGTGATTTTCTGGCTTTTACGCTCCTCTTAAATTCTCCGACTGTAATGTAAACCATTTCTATTGCCAGGGTAAGAAAATAGGAGACTTTTTATCAATGACTTTTTTTAGGGTATGAAGTTCCAAATCAAATTCTGCCATATCAGAAATTATTTTTTCTTTAAAATATAGCAAAAAAAAATTATTTCGCTCCTTAGACATTTTGCTAGTGAGTTTTTACACTAGAATGCGAATGGAATCAAGGATTTAGATGTAGTAATGCCAGACAACAAAATGAATTTTTCGACAACAACTGACAATTCCACGGAGGCTAAGCTATAGCTGCCTGCATGGAACTTCGAATCCAAGTAACATAATGTGACGAGCGACAACAGAAACGCGTAATACCTTTCTTTTAGTTGTCTTGTTTCATCGTAGGGCTTAGAAAGGTTTCGTGCTATTTTTCAGTATACTTTTTTCTTTTGTTTTAGACGGATCAAGTGTTTACCAAAGTCTAATAAACCAAACAATACTTACTTCCGTCTTATCTTTTTCTTTCGTGTGAAAATATATTATACCAATGGCAATTCCCACTAGACTTGCTGCCCAATTATTAAGCACACCAGTATGAAGCGAAGTCCAATAGGGATAATGTAAGAAGTTTGTACCCTTAATATTCCTAAAATATAACATTTGGTAACTCAACTTTAAATGTTTCAGCAGTAAATTAAAATTAACCATAGTACGGTATTTTTTGCAAACTTTTTAGTATTTGATAAAACGCTACTGAAAAAATTTCTTCCCGAAATTAGCTAAGGCTTGCAATAGATTCCGGTACTTACTCGGGAGATGGACGTACAATTACATCGAGGTTTTGAATGCCAGTTATAATCGCATTTGCAACTAAAGTGAAAATTATGGAAAAAGTCAAAATTTTTCTGAGATTCCATTTATAGTTGATGCTAGCAAACAGAATTGCGAGGACAGCTAAAAAGTACTGAGTATCTACGGAAAGATACCAGGTCCCCGGATTGCACTAAAAATATCGATTTTTCGACCAACTTTCCTCAAAACCTATAAACTCAAGAATATACAAAAGATAAGAATTAACATTTCCCGACTCATAATACCATATAAATAACCACTCACAACATTTGATGACAGTAGACTATTTTGACATTAGGGACACTTATTTTTGTCATCAAATGATGGACCCGGTAAACTGGTCAAATATGCGTTTTTTAGAATAAGAACAACATATTTCCTGCCAGATATTTCTTTTTTGAAAACCCACACAATGAATATTGGGGTAATTGTCTTATTTACCATTTCAGAAAAGGGGAGAACATTAGAGATTTGGAATAAGGTTCCCCACCAATTCTTAATACACGCTTGTCTCGTCGCATCGACCACGTCAAAGTTAAATGGTCCACTAGCGAGGTTGCCAATTGATGATTGCATCATTAATACCATTACAAATAGCGTAGGTAAATATCTACAAGAAAAAATTAAATGGGGATATATTTTATATACTGATAACTAAACGGAATTACTTTTTTTATTAACACCGTTTCTGTAGTTTTTTTAAACTAAATTATCTAGGCCTTTTTTTGGAACTGTAAAATGGTCGAGAAAAGGTACCGTGACACGCTTTTATACTAATGAAACAAAAAATTGAGAACTTCTTTAAAATTTCCACCACCTCCATCAGTAAAAAATTAAGGTAAAAATTCAATAAAAAATTGTCCGTTTAAATTTGAAATAAGATATTACTATAGTTTATAAATTATTCGAGAACGATTTATATCAACATAAAATTTTCTATTCCCAACAATAATAATTAATAGTAAGTAATAATTATTGATGCTTACCTGAATATTCTATTAACCATGAGAATAAAGCAGTCATATATGGTGAACTTTCCATTAGACCTATACAGTTCAAGAATTTGATTTGTTAGCAGCCAAGATGATATAAGGAAAAATGGCTGAACGAGGAAAGTTTCAAATGTGAGATTCAGTTGAACAAACCAATGTGTGTAAGCCTGAAAAAATGTTGGTTAGTTTATTGATAAAAATGCTGGCTTATCTAAAATAAAATTTTTCTTATCAAACTTTCAAAATTAGTAAAACATAAATTTTATATTTTCTTAGCAGTAAAAATTTGCTCGGTTTATATAATATCTTCTATAGTGCCTGTATTCAATGGAAATCAAATTTGGCGCACACTGAGACCTGGGAATTTCAAATGGATCACCCTATATTTTATTATACAGTTTCATCTTCCGTCCTTTATGTATGGACACAGCATTAGATCAAGTTTATTTCGAAAATTTTAAAATAATGAAAACTGAGTTTTTAAATAAAAATCCTCTGGAGGGATATTATTATGCTTTTATGTGCTATATATGTTGTGTTTTTCTAAAAAAATTTTTTTTCAAAACGGTGAAGGTGTTAGATAATAACTCGGCTGCTCTTCATATATACTTTTAAATATTCATATTTTGTTATCTACCACAAATGCTTTTCAAGTTCCAAAAGTCTCGTTTAATACTTACATATTCGATAAATTCTGGATTGGAGACGAAATTCTGAGCCCATGCCAATTTTATATGGCACAGTATAATAAACGTCATAGAGTAGAATCTTATTCCCTGAATGCACATCAGCTTGTTAAAATCCTTATTTTTGGATTTATGGATCGTCACTTTTTCCCAATTTGATATTACTGAATATGACAGAATCCATTCGTCAACTAAAAATAAAAATAAGCATTATTCAAAAATTAAAAACATTCTATCCCAAAAAATAAATCATCATTAGAGATGACATAGCCCGTATAAAAGTATTTATCTATGAGGCGCGATATTTTGAAACCATCTGTATCACTCATAATATACATAGTGTCGCATAGAGCCATAGAGCAACAGGCGATACTATAAAATCGTAAAAGTTGGTAAAAAATTTAGTTTTAGGAAAATGACAATAATTTTAAATTGGGTTAAAATTAACAGTATATTAGAAACTTACCTCTGCGTTTTCTTGTTTTTGTGTTGCGATTCATATCCCACATTGTAGCGTAGATTATCATCAAAATATGCAAAATAATCAGAATCCTGAAAAATAATTATATTTGGTGGTTAGTTCTGCTTTCTTTTTGATTGTCATATGAATATCTCTAAATTTCACCACACAGGACGACTGACTCAAACCCTATTATTACAAACTCTGAATTTCAGCAATAAAAGAGTATAACTGCAAGTCGAGTGCCAAAATATTCAACTCGAATGTATCAAGCAATACACTGTTAATCTTGAAAAGTTAGGTAAGCTTAGATTATTTAGTAGATGTATTCGTCAAAGAAATTTTGTGTCAACTAACCAGTAAATAAAATATATTTGCATCTTTTCCACATGTTTTTTGAGGTAATTCCAAGAGATAGAAGAACATCTAAAACTTTGTTATTGTGGGATATATTTCAGAAATTACCGTGTCATTTAATAATTTGTATGAACTATGAAAAACAAACTTTATTTTCTTAAAAGTTAGAATTAAGCACATAGGACAAAAAATATTTTGAATTTAAAAATGTAATGATACAATTTTTTTAGAGCACAAATTTTATTTGGCTTTATAGGTTAAAGTTTTGTATGTTTATATATCGAAATAATGCTGTTCTTCAAAATTGACTGTGGAATTGTACAGCTGTACTGCAATTCTTAATACACGCTGGTCTCGTCGCATCGACTACGTCGAAGTTAAATGATTAAAGATACATCAAATTATTCTAAAAATGTTATACAATTATTGCTTTTTCTTTTTCATTAATATAGTAATAAGTAACCTTATAATAAGTGCACTTTATTAACTCAACCTTCTAACTGCTTCGGGTAAAACGTTCTCGACTTCATGACTGCTAATTAATTGTTGTTTAACGAAAACACGCTCAATCGTTATTTATATTAATGGCGGAAAACTGTATGCGTGTTCTTTCTATGTTTTGAAAGCGTTTTAGACTTAATGGGCTATCTGCGGAATTCTTATATATGCTATGCCGCCAGCCAACCTTGCCAATGAGGTTGGCGAAAATTCTGGCACATTATACTTTTTGAAGAAAACTATTTGGACATTTAAATTCTTTGCCAAAATTATCGCTGCACATCATAGTGACTGCAAGAGCTCGTTGAATATTCTAAGGTTACTTACTTCCTTTGCAAAATAATTTTTTCTGTTATTGCATGCCGCGAAACCCGCGTATTACGGCGTAATTAATTAAGTAGTTCGCAATTACAACTTCGTGGAGGGTTTTGACGCAAGCGATAATACATCTCTAATTTCAATATTACATGAATGACTAATCAATGGCTTGTCCTTGTTAGTTATTTCAAAGTAGCAAATTTTTAATTTTAATAATAAACGCGTATTTTAGAGTAGGAAGTAGGAAAAACAACTTAATTTCTGTCTCGATCAATTAAGCAAGCGCAAGTGTTGTTCAAAAAATATATAAAAAATTTAGTTTACATGGCAGCCAAATTTATGAATTGCTATCTCCCTCTAAATACCTCATAGCAATAAAATAAATTTGGGATTTAAGACCCTCACTATCTTTAAACCTCTCTCTAGACTTAATCCTATAAAATAATGAAAAATCAAAGAACTATCCCCAACTTAAAACATCAAGTAGCCACTTTTTTTGTTCTCCTTACTGTTTGGCAATTAAATTGATTTTTATGTAGTCTTTGCTTAGATACCTGATTACTTTCGCATTGTCAAAATACATCAATCGAAATAACTTTTATTCTTCCCATTTCATTTTTTTTTTCATTCACAACTTAAAAGAACTCACTATGAGTAAGCGTTCTAGCATGTTAATCTTAGAACCATAGATTCTAATTAAACCCAAGAGAAAAATTTTTACACGAAGCATATGTCCATCGATGAAAACTCTATAGTTCGCCGACAATTCACCATATTAACTTCAAACGATAAATTGTACTCGGCGATATTTTCTTCCAAACTGTTTTTCACGTATTCCAGTATGCTCGTATCATCTGCTAATTTTTGTGGAACACAAATCGCTCGAGCAAGGTAACGCCTGTCAAAATGTTTGTGGCTATGAGAGCGGGCCTACAATAAAAACAAAATATTTAATTGGTTACTAATGAAATTCGCAAAATGAACTACTTCACTAACAATTGTCGCGATAGCATCTGGTATTTGGTATTTGATTGATATTCCGTCCAAGCATATGTTTTTCCATGCAATTTTTAGAACAAAAAATTAGCATTTATGATACTTTTGGAAATTTTATTAAAATTTTCTTGGTACTAACTACTTACTCCAAAGGAATGGCTTCTCATTTACTCTGTAAGGCAATTTGGGTACAAATGATATTCGATATAACGGGTGATTCAATAAGAGTTTCCACATTGCAATCTGAAATATTTTTGAAACGCCACTTTATTTGTTTATTATCATATGAGATTTCTAACCTCAAAACAAAATTAGTCATGGAGCAATATATGACTTAACAACGTGTTAAAAACGTGCAAGCCTATTATGAAAATGGTCGATCAAGAAAAAATGCATTTCGGGTTCTACGTGACCTTCTGAGAGGACAATTTGGAATGTGGTTCAAAAATTTGAGCAAACTGGATCTGTAACTAACCACAAAGTCCCTCAACGTGCCCGTGCAGGTCGGTCAGATCAAAATATTTTGTTCGCGAAAATGTAGCCGAAGATCCAAACACATCGATTCGTCATCGATCGCAGCAAGTGAGCCTTACGTATTCAACCACAAAGTGAATTTTAATAAAAGACTTGCATCTACACCCAAAGTGTATAAAGTGTATATGCAAAGTGTATAAAGTCCAAATAACTCAGGAGTTGAAACCTCGAGATCATCAACAGCGCCGCGTTTTTCCAGAATAGATACGAGAACAAGAGGTTCATTTTTCAACGAAAATTATCTTTAGCGATGAGGCACATGTTCACGTTGGTGGCTTTGTAAACAAACACAATGCTCATATTTGGGGATTAGAAAATCCAAGAGAGATTGTTCAAAAAGCAATGCATCCTCAAAAAGTGACTGTTTGGTGCGCATTTTGGTGCGGAGGAATAATTGGCCCTTTTTTTTTCGAGGATAATGCGGAGAACGCTGTTACGGTTAATGGCGTTCGCTATCGAAACATGATAGCTGATTTTTTTTTGGGAGCAGTTGGAAGGTATGGACATTGAAGATTTGTGGTTCCAACAGGATGGAGCCACTTGTTACACATTCAGAGAAACGATGCAATTGCTGCGGGGCAGTTTCCTGGTCGGATTATTTCACGTAACGGCGATATCAATTGACCGCCGGGATCACGTGATCTTACTCCCTTAGATTTTTTTTAGGGTATCTAAAAAGCAAAGTTTATAGAAATAAACCAAACACTATTCTAGAGCTGAAACAGGAGATTAGACGTGAAATAGCCGGCATAGAACCTGAATTGTGTCAAAAAGTCATAGGAAATTTCAATAAACGAATTACGTCATGCCACATGAGTCGCGGGGGTCATTTGAAAGACATCATCTTTCATATCTAATTGTAATACACTAATCTAAAATGGCAAATAAAAATGTTTGTATATTTTTATATTCTTCCGAGTTTTTTTATTATTTTAATGTGGAAACCCTTATTGAATCACCCTTTATATGATATATAAATTTTTGAAATCAACGCCCCAAAGCAAAAAGAAGAAAAAAGAGGAGAGAAAATTATTGAAGCGCCCATAGTATGTTAAGCTCATTGTTTCACTTTTTGTCGAAATACTATTTACTACTAAAATTTAGTCCCGATTTAAAATAAGTTCAAGTATCCCTTTAGGTTTTAATTTTATTCCACTTAAAAGAAAATTGTGTCCAGCGCTATCACATTTACCCTATATAAGTAATCACTATGCAGGCGGGATACAGTTATTTATGTACTAACTTATCGATAAAAAGTGATTTGCGATGTTCGCAATCTGCCCCTGCTGTTAAAATTGCACCACCCGTGATTTGGCGATGGCAATAACCTATTAAATAATTTGTCTTCATATACATATCGAAAACAAGCTAAAGGGGAAAAGAAAAAATACACGAAACTAAAAATACTTTTTTTGTTTTAAGAGAATTCATACTTTTAATGGATTATCACTTGACTATAGACCACGGAGACATTAGATATTAAAAATGTTATGGTAAAACCCATTCTCATCGGAAAATCCAGAAATCCTTTAAGGTGTGAAAAAGTTTTAAAAAAAACTCTAAATTCTTTAACTTCAGTATTTTAGTACTTAAAAAAAATCAAAATTAACAGCTAGATCTTTTTTGGGTAAGAAATAATTGCATTATAGTTAATTTAATTAATTTAATGTTTTCATCAATCTCGCTCCATCGAAAGCCAAATGGATACGCATACACATTTAAGCGAGAAATTTTAGTTATATACATCCACAGCTATTTGATATTATCTGCGCATTGTCCAGTTGCTTGTAATATGAAGATTAACTATATACACTTTGCTCATGAGATCAAACAAAAACCTATAATAGTGATGAATAATGCTGATACACACTAGCTTAATATGTACAAGAAATTTCACTTCTTATTAACGTTTTTTTCTAGTCATAACTGCAATAAACTCTTATTATAACCTTAATTCAATAATCGGTGGTTTAATTACTCTCCCACATTTTGTATCAGCAGTACCTGTACAATAAGATTCCCTTACAGTATAAAAGATTAAAATGAAATCAGTTCCGAAATGATAATTCGATAAGTCGCACATTTACTAAGAGTTTCATCTCAGCTGTCTGGTCACTGACTCAATTTTCATATTTGGCCATTACGATTATTTATTGCGACATCTTCAGTTATGTTGAAAAAAAAAAGGCTGTTTGATGTTAACACTTGAATAATGCGCCTATTTCTTTATATGAATGATTCCAGTACATTTTATTTACCGTATAGCCAATTTTTTTAAATCTAAAATTTAAAATCTCGAACTCATAGGCGCTGGAGGTTGCCTCGGGTTACTAATGCAAAGTACGAATACCATTGCTATTAATATTGCTATTGAAGTGGTCTTGTAGCTCAATATTATACAAACGTGTAACCAAATTATGTTAAATCACATCGCACTTTTAACTACTTTTTATACATTTTCTTTTAACTACTTTAGCTTTAGCTACTAACGTAAACATAGTAACAGGATAATCAGATAAAACCTAAGACTGTAGCTCACTTACTTTGCACATTTAATCCCTGCGTTAAATAAGCACTTTTAAGGCGATAAAAATGAATAGCTTGCTCACGTAGTCATATTATTCGGAATTTTAGTATTACAATGTACTAATTAAATGGTTATACGTACTTCAACTTCCTTCCAATAATATGGTTTCGGATCTGGCGGAATAAGTTCTAGTTGTGCCAAACAGTACTTACTGTCATCGAAAGTTGTACAATTAGTGAAGTCTGCTTCGTAAATTGGAGGTAAAATTTCTACAAGATCAAAAGATTGTTTTATAAGCTTTATCTTTCTATACTAACATCGATTCAAAACTTCAAGTTGAGCCCCTGATTTCGAAGCGTTTGTCGTTTGCCATTACGTATCATATCAACCAAAGATTTGGCAATTCCATTTTTAATTTTTTTTTGACTATTTTATGCACAGAGAAGATTAAAAATTCCCAATATAAGATTATTCGGTCCAGTAGGTTATTTTTAATCATTTACTCTATTACGAAAAATTAAAATATCTCGAGCACGTCTCACTATGTTTTTTTTTGTTTCTTTTTGTTCCATTCGAAATCATAAAAATATTTTTTTCGGAAATTTTCAAAAAGTTTATTGATAAAAACTGTTTTCAAAATTTGTTAAGATATCTTGATATATTTTTAGTATAACTTTGAACAAAACTAACAATATTTTCATCAAAAACTAATTTTTTAATTTTAATTTGAAATTTGTAAATTCTGATACTCTCTATCCTATTATCAAAATCGGTGCTCTGCCAAACCTAGTTTTACTTTGATTGATTAGCTCTGAAATCATCTGGTAAACTAACAGACAAAACAAAAATATTCTATTTTCATTTTAAACAATTGCCTCATTCATTTATTTTGAGTGCTTTTTTCAACTTACTTTCAATCTCGGTCGCAACATCTCGAGCACTAACATTGCCAGCACACAAAAACAACAGCAGCTGAAAAGTTAGCCAAAGTTTCCGTACAAAAAACATACCCGTTAAATACAACTTTTCCGTGTCACTTATTTTAGCGACCAAATAATATGTGATGTAGGACTCTTACCTCGTTTAAAATGACATCGACCTAGGTAAATAGTCCGCATTGTTAAATACCAATTTTCTTATTACTGTTATTTACCTTCATACGATTGTGTTGACGAAACAACGAAACTGAATTATTTTAATTAATTGATTTGGTGTATTTAGAACGTAAATGAAGGTAATTTCAATATTTATCACAAAAACTGATTTTTAAATTAAATGGCAGATTAAAGATTCGTTCGAAAAAACCTACTCATTCAGATTCAGTACAGTGACGTACCCAACATTGGAAGTCCATCGATCCTTATTTATGTATGTTATGAGTATCTAAAATGGAAAGACAATCTCAGTTCTACAAAGAAGTCCTGCATTCAGAAAAGACACAGCCAAATTTATAATAAATGTACAATGACTTCTTTCATAATTGCAGATAACTTTTATATCAATTTTTCAAAGAAACTTCCACTCTGAAGAAGACAACAGGATGATTGGCGAAACGTTAGCTAGTTCGAGTCAACAAAAACCAACGCAGGACGAATCCAGAAGTTTTATTAAAAGTAACTTTTATATTATATGCCAACAACAACCTAACTGTGGGGCACTTTAAATTGAACAAGAAAAATAATGAACACTTGGGGTTATTCAAGATTTTTAGCGTAAAACTGGGTTGGATTAGTTTTTTGTGGGTGAACGAGAAATTGGGTTCACAACTAAGAGAAAAAAAAAAGTTTATTTTTCACGTTGCTTCAGGTTCAGAAAGAGGAAAGTAAATAAATAAAGTCACGAGAGACAAAGAATATATTGGAAATTGTAATTCCATAAATTAAACCTCAAATTTAATAGCACATTATGAAGCCTACAGGTGACATAGTTTTCTGAGCACGCTTAAAAAGAGCACATTATTTTGCTATACTCTTTTCTTATTTTTCTGTATTTGGGGCACGAACTTCTTCTGCAATGTAAATCCAGGCTGTTCAAATAACACCGTTGTTAAGATTCCGATAACAAACGAAAAGAAGATATCACTTATCGTCCACAATATCTGCAACACAAATGATGGGTAGAAAATTTTAGTTGCAACACAGCGTAAAGTATTGTTATGGTAATATTGCAAAGCTGCCGATGTGTTTGACGAACAATAATCTGTTTTCGTTGCCTCAAATCTCTACCATACTGCAGGTACGGGATGAAAAACAAAATTGCACATTTTTTTAAAAATGTAATTAATTCTGCGAATTTCCATTTTATGGATAAGAGAAACAGTCATTTTAGAAATATTGTGCTAGACCGAATTCTCAGTTTCGTTTTTCTTATAGACCTTCGACATTTTTTAAATCTCCTGTTTTAACCATCTGTAATATTTTTATATTTCATGAAGATAAATAAATACAAAACGTCTATAGTAACATCTAGCATTGGATGCTATTTTTTTGGTATGAGTTATTAGGCATAATGAATAAATTCTTCGGTCGAGATAAAGTCGTATTATACCCCGTAATCTAATTTAAACTATCATCCCCATGAACTAAATTATAGCATCCGTCAATCGAAACTTACAAAGTGCAATGGAGTTACGTGAAACAATTCGTAAGTAAATAAACCTCGACCAAACACCAAACCAAAGTGGAAAACGTAGGTGCAGTATGTAAAGTTACTCATGTTAACCGCAAACTCAACCTCACAAAGTCTCTTGATTGCTCCTACAAATACGTCTAAAGCAAATTCAGTTAAATTTCGCTATTTTTACCTCCGTAGCCTCTAGACATCAATAAAATTCCAATGCCGAATGGCAGCGCAAACATAGGTTTTAGCAAGGCCCCTAGAATAGCCCTTGACATGCCTTCAAATTCGACAGTCGTAATGTATACAATCGCAATTGGTACTGTGAAGAACACGGTCCACGCCAACCATCGATGCCACTAAAACAATATGTTAGCAACTGGGATATAGTGGGTGGAGTTTAACTACCTCTGGAATACTTATACTTTTTAAATTTTTCGTGTTATGGTAAATTGATCCAAGACCGATCCCTAAAAAACTTGTCGACCAGTTCGAGAAGGGATTTATATATAAAGTGTTAAACTCCGGAGCAGTCAATAATTTTTTAAATAACCTGAAATTGAAAATGGAAACTATATAACTAAAACTATACACCGGGGCCTCCAAATTGGATTCTCACAATTGGATTGCTCTAATATTTGGTTTGAAAATTGAAATTTATTTTGACTATTTTTAACTTTTTTTAAATTGAGAGCCCAACATGAGCAATACCTTAAATTAATATAAACACGTAAATAATGTAAATATAAAAATGTACTAATAATAATAACGATAATTTAAGAGACAATTCTGTTGCCATAAGGGTAGTATGTGTATGGGATCGTATATGTACCGATTGTCCGAACGAGAGAGTAAACTATGTTTTCGCCTTTCTGCTATTATATTATATAGATAGAGAAAAAAATTACAAAAATCATAAATTTGGTGATAACAACATTATAAGGAGTTAAGATTAAAAAATATGAGAATTTTTAATTTCAAATTTGGAAAGTTCGGAGCCACCTGCATAACGGATTTGTAATGAATTCGAAAATATTCAAAACGCTATTAGGTACATCTTAAATTTTTATTTTTTTATTAATATGAAAATGTATCGTGGACAATTTGGTTTTCATTCTCTCGACTTTAGTTTTCTCCTAAGTATGGAAAAAAGTTATGACAAAGCAGACATATCTTTTTTGAATATACATAAAATAATTTTTCAAAAAAACTTTCGCAGCCTGTACTGTACTGTACAACTTGTACATACACTCCATCTGGATTTCTCTTTATGTTCCAGTTTCAAACGGCATTGTCAAGAAGCTAGCAGCAAGAAACGTCAGCAAGACAGAGATAACACCCAATGTCGCAGAAGAAATCCAAAAGTAGTGTAACTACAATTATGAAATAGTTTATGTATAACTGTTTTTCGAATTCGAATTTGTGTATTCATTAGTAAATAGCTGTATCACTCAAAATTGCCGTTTCTACAAAAACATATTTCAATAATAACCTGGCAAACAAAGCAACCAGTTTACGATTGTAACTTTCCTTGCAATTTTCGACTTGATTTTTCGGGGGTCAACATTGGTTCCCTCTGTACTGCAAAGTTCATGCTTAAAAAAAAGAATATTTCCTGATTATCGACAAAAACTGTATTCCTCAAGAGCATTCTCTTATCTCTACTGCGATACCATAGCTTTTTTTCACATAAATGGCGCGATTAACGATTAGATTAGCTGTAAAATCATTTACGTATACAGTATTGTTAAGTATTTTCATCACAACTAGTTTTAAAAAATTTTTGTTGAATCAATATAATTATTCTCATTTTTTAGTTTAGTTAGTTTAGATTTCTTTTTAGAGTGATCAAATTTCCAACTTACTAAATATTGTTAAACGATAGCGAAGTGTATGACAATTCATTATTATTTTATATTACAATCTTAAAAATGCTTGTTGCTGGGTTTGGCTGATAAGCATGCTATTAACTATTTTCATCAATAAAAACGTTTTGAATTTAATTTAATTAAATTGACTCAACAACACTTACTTCGGATATGCCTTGTACATTGTATCCAAATTATTCACATGAATAACGATGCCGTAAATGCCAACAAAACTGAAAAATGCTGCTGTTGATAATTTTCTAATATTTATAGAGTACTTCAGTGCAATATACATGGTCATCAACGTGGATATGAAAAGACAAGTATCTACCGATAAATACCACGTACCAGGTTGGCACTAAAATAGAATTCTGTAAAGTCACAAGCCAAATATACGCAATGCAAAGACCAAACTACATTGCAAAGTATTTTAAAAGTTACGTATCCTACCATTTTATGGAAAGGCAAGATATAGTTAAAATGGAATAAAGTAGCCCACCACGCATTTAAACAGTTATCAAAAATTAGAAAGAAACTTTCCATGGTGTGGGGACTACACCAAAACTTAGCTAAGGAAGTTGATACCAGAATTTGTATCAATATTGTTGGCAGGAATCTAAAACAGAACAAGGACTTCGGTCAGTGGTCAAAAAATACCGCCAAAACTGGTCGTCGTGACCATATTGCAGATTATGTTGATGGTATACGTCGTATTTTTCGACTGTTAGCTGATCCTAAAGGTACGTAAAAATATGCCGAGTCGAGCATGAGCCGAATCTGTACGTATCACTTTGTGCAACGAGCAGACCACGAATCTGCCCTGATCCAGTAACGAACCCAGGATATCGCAAACCAAACTGCTCCATATGTTGATATATAATATCTAAAAACTGCTCGTTGCGGTTTTAAATTCTGCCGAGTATACCGCGAATATGTCCCAATTGCAACACTGTGACTTTCTTTGTGTTCGTCGCAAAAACCGACAAGAAATGGATCGCGACGAGTCCGCCACCAGCGCCCGTCGAGTCGATCGCGAACCCCGCACTAATAATTTGACTCGTAGTAGGCTTGTTTGCATGGCTTGTGCTCAGCTTGGCATATGTATACGCAGCTTTACATACTCGTATACATGATATAGCAATGCAATTATTAATCAAATTGATTGTGCTTACCTAAACATTCTATTAATATACAATATTACACAATGACGAAGTGAAAAATACCCTTGATTTTTATAAATTTCGTGTATTTGATTGGTCAAGAGAAGGGAGGATATCATATAATACGTCTGAACTATCAAGAGATCTAAATGCATACTGAATAACATCAGCGGATTTGCAAGTATCTGCAAATCAGTATGTCATTATCCTATTTTGATAGGGTAAAAATTTCCCATACGTTTTCCCATGTTGAAACATCATCGATATACGCCAAAACAAAACTGTTCTTCGTATGCCATGCGATCATCATCACCGTATTAAAGAAACGAATACCCTGTATAGATTTTAATTTCTGGTAATCTGGGTTTGAGTTTTTTGCATTAATTTTTTTCCAGTTTTCAAAAATCGAAAACGTTAGAAACCAATCCTCTTCTGAAAGTAATTATTTACTATACTAGACAATTTTTCCTTATTTTATAACAATCTACAGTCAAATTTTCAGTAAATATAGTCTCGGACAAAATTAAAGCGGCCTTTTATTTTTTTAACTAACCAAACCTATATTATATTATATTATAAATAAAGTTCTAAATATATACTGGTATGAGCCATCAACCACTTTTAATGAATATACTTTTAAAAAATAATACATGTTTTACCAATAAAAAATAATTAAAAACCAAGTTCGTGTTTACAGCGACAAAATTAAAGTGTCTAACCATCTTTTTGGCATCGAAGAAATCAGATTTTAAATTGTTTCATCATCTATAGACTTCCGAGTATTTTGGATTTCTTGCAATTACTGATCCTTATTTCATCTCCAATAGGTTCTCCATCGGATTTAAATCCGGTGATTGCGCTGGCCATTTTAAAACTCTACTAACATTCTTTAACTATTTATGCAGTATGGTTGGCATCGTTATCGTGCTTGAATATAAACTTTAAAGGCATTTCTCATTCAACATATGGCAGCATTACGCCTTCTAATATAGCATGATCTAAAAATTAATCGATTTCAGTATCAATTTTATGAATAGGGCACATTCCATATGCTGACAAGCAACTCTAAACCATAACGATATCACCACCGTGCTTTGCAGTACCAGGAACGTACTTGCGGTCAAGTCTTTTATTATCAGGTTGATGTCGATTGAATTTCGACTCATCACTAAATATTACCTTTCTCCAATTCTTGGCTGTCCAATTTAAATGGCGAGTAGCAAACAACAGACGAGTATCTCGATTTTTTTTCGAAAGGAACGCTTTTTTGCTGAACTTCTTCCAGGAAGCTCGGCTTCCATCAAACGACGTTGGATAGTTCTTGGAGGCACATTTTCTGTACCCAATTCTGCTAAAATCTCACTTGCAGTTAACCATGGCCAGCTTTGACTAATTCTTTTAAATCTCCAATCTTCTTGCTTCGAAGCTTTTCATTTTTTCCCCTGGATTCAAGTATATAACCCTTCGACGGTGCCGAAAAATTTGTTTAATGTTTAAAACAACTTGTTTTGTCGCCCTGAATTGTTGTTTTCTTGTTTTTTGTGGTATTCCAGCCTTTTTTTTTAAGATCAATAGAATAATGAATGCCGCGAGACATCTTGCACTATTAGGTTGTATTGAAAATCTTTATTTTCAATGAGTTACACTTAACTACCAAACAGTCGTTTTAATTTTGTCCCAGAAAATTTTTGTTATGCCCAAAAAACTTTGTTAGAACCCACATTATCAAAAAAAAAATGAAATAAGCAAACAAAAAACATGTTTGGAAGTTGTTGATAAATCCAGCATTCCATTTATTTTATAGTGTCAGTACAATTTTTTTTTTTAACTAATTTAAGCAGTTGATCTAATTTTGTCCGTTACTGTATTTATCACAACTTACGCTTTGAATTTTCCGCACGTCTTTCTCTTTGTGCATCGTATAGGCTGGCGATAATTACGAGTACAAAATAACCGATTAACAATAAACTAGAACAAGTTAAATGATAATAGCTGAAACCTTTTACTGATTTCACTTACCAGACAATTAAATCAAATTTTTCAAACTTTTTGTTGGGTTCGCAGCGAATATCTATTATATCCAAATTTGCACTTATGTCGTTAAAATACTCTTGAGCTGCTTTTGACGCATATTCTTTTATTAGGTTGGAGTCAATAATATTTGGAGGTACACATATTAATCTATGGAAATTAGACCTATCGTATTTATTTCTATCCTCTATACTCTTCTATAACAAAAAGCAAATAAATTACGTGGGCTTCTAAAAAACTGAATGGCTGTTGATGAAATGTTCCTTTATCGTCAAGTACAAAGTTTTTTTTATAGTTGCATTTTTTGTTATTTATTCTTTTTCTACTAAAATCTTGCGCTTCTGAAAAAACTGCATAGCTGTTGATGAAATTTAATTTGTCGTCTAATACAATTTTTTTTATAGTTGCATTTTTTGTTGTTTATTCTTTTTCTACTAAAATCCAAATTGATATATGCATATTTATTATGTTATGAATATTGGTTTGGTTATATGGGTTAGCTCATACATATCTTGTTAATGTTTTTTTAAACATCTTTGGTGTTTCATTTTGTGAAATGTGGAATCCGTAAATAAAAAATAAATAATTTCGTTAATTATTGCTGAGTTTTTTTAGTAATAAACTACTAAAAATAACTATTCTCATTATCAATTGCCGTTATCTCCTTTCCTGTGGCAAAGATTTTGAACTAGAAATTGTTAAAGAATAATGCAGAACTGAGGACTTTCTTCTTCTATTAAAATGTTGACGAAAATCGTGACTTATCCAATAGAAACTATTCAAAAAAATACCTTAATTTCCCTTGCTAATGTAGAATTAATTTCTAGCGGACTTAAGTGGATATCAACTCTACAATATCTGCCCTGCATCTTTTTACATCGCTCATAATTATCCATCTCATACATTCTAGGCAAACTACCTGTGGAATAGAATAACAAATACGAGATAGTTAATCAAAATGGCCATTTAAATAAAGGGTAATCAATAACAATCTAATTCAAACATTGAAAGGAACGGGAAAATAGTAATAAATAGTAAGAAATAGAAAATGAAAAATTAATTTTTCTTCTTAAAAAATCAAAGCTCAATTGTTCTGTTCACGTACCGAATAAAGATAAAGATCTTTTATAAAAAAATATGAAACCTTTAATAATGATATATAATGAAATACTTGTATTAGTATTCTTTTTTTTTATTTCAAAGAAACCAAGCAGTAAATAGTATCACAGACTTCTGTAATACAAATTATTACAAATTAAACTTGCTCACTAGCACTATTCTCTTTGGCATAACATTTTAAGAACCAGTAAACGAAACATTTTTAGACAACTTTGACCACTACGCTCCTGAATTAGGTGTAGAGAATATTTTTTTAGAATCGTAAATATATGTATACATATTTACATTTATATTTTTTGTATACTTACGTTCATCCTGAACTGAAATATGATTAGCACAGGTGTTTCTTAAAAACAAAAAAACTAATAATGAAATGATATATTTATCCCACATTACCATGTTTCGACCAGAGAAACTTGTCAGACACTGACACCAATAAGTAAGAGTAGTTTTTAATGCTCAATATTTTTTGCATAGGCCATAACATTTAGTTAAATGGTACTCAACAAAACATTTTATCACATTTCTAGTGTCCTTGTAAATAAATTTGTTGTCACTTAATTTTAATAGATTTGGACTAATTATATATGGGTGTCGGAGAATTGTGCCACAGAAGATTAATGTTTATGGGGCCAACACACTTGAAATTATTGAGATTTAAGTGCCCTCAATTCGAATATCTCGAATTAAAGATATTTGACATGGCAGTGATACATTACATTACTTTTAGTTAAATATGTAGATTTAACAAATACTTAATCAATTAAACAAAAGTCATAATTGAGATAATGAGTATATTTTAAAAAATCAACTAAATCTACCTAATAAATGAAACCTTCGGAAACTCCCTTTTCGTGATACGCTTGAATGAAATGAACTATAGTTTTATGTTGTTTACGCTATGAAATATCTATTGAATGGCGAAGATGGTTTTGTTGCTTGCAGATTTCTGAATATATTGTTTATGACTTACGTGATTGAATTCTATAAAAAAGAAATTAACGAACCACAATTCTTTATTGTTATTTTTGTATCATACTCTATATTGCATATAGGACGAAAAAGAATCTAATGCCATAGCATCAGATTGCTTTGCCCTAATCTGATATGAATTAACTGTAATTAGCGTTATTAATGATAAAGTAAATCACAACTATCCCTTGTCTATTATTGGTAAATATATAAGGTTCCTTTTTTACTTTGAAACACTTGTTGATAGCAATTTTGTATCGCCAAGTCTACGTTTATGACATTATAGTTAGAACTAGTTACATTGTACGTTAATTGAAATAAGCCAGTAATTAAATAATTTGCGGCAAAGTAATATTTGGTTTCATGGACTCTACGACATAACAATTAACTTACTAACACGGTTTATTGCAAACCGATTTTTTAAACTTGCCAATAAGATACGACAAATGTATATATATATATATATATATATATATATATATATATATATATATATATATATATATATATATATATATATATATATATATATATATATATATATATATATATATATATATATATATATATATATATATATATATATAAATAAAAATAAAAATAAATAATAAAATTTTAATCAACTCAACATGTTTTTAATTCAGTTTCTAGATAATTGGGGCTTGAATGAAATTGAGACCGCAAATAACTGAATTTTGAATTAGAGCTTCGTGGTCACAATGATATGATAAATTGCAATTTAATTTATTTAAAAGCGAAGATCTTTTCTATCATAAAGAAAATAAATGAACTAAATGCAGAATATGCAAGATCAAAAACCTGCACTGCCGATATAGGAAAATAAAATGTTTGTACAAATATTAAAAACCATATGCTTCAATGTATGCTACCGAGAACCGTTATATCAGCGAACCAATAGTAATATTTTAGTTAAACAATAACGCTTCGTTATCGGCGTTAATGGCACAAGTAAATTTCTTCGCGAGTTTTGTTAACCAAGAATTCTACTACATTGCACTAGCCAGAAAATCTCTTTAAAATGATTTTAGTTACAAAGCTAGCAGTCTTGGGAATTTTAGTTGCACACTGCGAGGCAAACACGACCAGAATTAAGAGGAAAAATATACTGCTCTCGAGAGAACGACGTTACTTGATGTTTCCAAAAGGTAGCAATTTCGTGGTAAGTGGGTTATCAATATTATTCAATTAACAGTAACCAAGAAAAGTCAGCAATAGAAACTAGTTTTCCCAATCCAAAATAATAATCCTCCCTTCAGACTTTTCAAAAGTGGATTCCTCCATTTTACTTCTTCCCTTTCAGATAAACCTGACGTGTACAAAACCTTTGTTGAGAGCACAGCCCACTGGATGGAACACAGTATACGAGGTGGATTTTCCTTTTGCGCTCCCTCCAGATACTAGAAATCTCTTTTTTAAACAAAAACCAGAAAGGCGCGTAATTGAAAAGAGGAATGTAATTGAAAATATCGAAAAGATCTTAGCACAGTAAGTACAAATGTGGCACACAATTTTCCGAAAGTTTCGAATTTAGATAATGCCAACTACAAGATGGTTTCACTTTCAGGACAGGAGTAAACAGCACATCTTGTATTAATCGGTTTATATGCGAATCTAAACAATATGCCGGAATGAAACAAAATTCATTGCTAAATCACCTTGTCGACGTTGTTTTCAGGTATCTATGCGAATAGTGACATTTTTGGTATACCCTCATTCCTTTGAGGTTTTCGTATTATCAACTAATTGACATACCAAGCGTCTAAAAAGTATGGAAACGGTGGAATATCTCGTATAATTGATCAAAAAACAAAAAAGCGCCTTGAAATAATGAATAAAAGGACTGTTTAATAATGCCAAATATGAGCCCCCACTCCAATCCACTGGAAGAAGTTTATTAATGTGTTGCAGACTATACTTTTTCTAAGCAACCGTTACTTTTTGAGTACATTTTTGCAAAACGGTGACACGTGACTTGACCTTCAGTAATTGACTACCGAGAATCTAAAAGAAAAATTCGGATAAAAGCTGTCATAAAAGCGGATAAAATAAGGGTTTTATTTAGGACTTCAAAGTTGAGCTCACCCCACTACTGGTGGATTAGGGTAGGGTCATGTTTGGTATAACTGAACAGTTTTTATTCAATATTTAAAGATATTTGTTGTTTTCTTGTCAATTGTGTAATTGTGAACATATCCCACTTTTATATACTTTTTAGAGAGTTAAAGATTATGCAGAGAAAGTCACGGCCGTCTATAGAAAAAAGTTATATTGCACTGTCGATCTAAAATATCTTCTGTAGTGCGGTTTCGTTAAAATGACTTATGATATCGAAAAATTAATGGCTTTGTATATTATTGCACTGATGTAGCCTAGTATTTTATTATTATCTTTTGTCGAAAATAATATCTACCAATTAAATGGGAAACACTGCCATGCTACGGTCCTTATATTGACGTACAGGTTCAAGTGTCGAGCAGTTTATGTTATTTCAGATCATTCACGGAGGAAGAACAGTTTCCGGAGTATAAAGATGCGTGCGAATCTACTCACTTCGAACTTTGTCCACTATCTTTATTCAATTTATTTACCGCAACACCCCAAATGTAGCCTCTAATAAAATTATTCCAAAATATGGAGTTTACTTTTTATTGACAAAGGAACACAAAACGATTTTTGGTTTTCAACTGAGATATTGCGAAACACTAACTAACCAAAACTATCAAAATTTACAGCTCATAGCACATATTAATACAGTTAAAATGACAGATCGTGAATAAAGTGGAACAAAAAACAGAAGCCAATGTTTATAACATTAACAAAAAAAAATATAGGAACTAATGTACATTCCGAGAAAATAATTTCTTAACCAATTTTTAAGAAGTATCGAAAATGATTAATTTATGATGAATGAATATTATTTAGTTAAAGGAGTAAAAGGAATAAAAATTTACTAGCTTACCAATGCCGATAGTGTCCATCAAATTAAAATATTTTTAAAGTTGCACCGAAAAAGTCCATTTTTCCATCCTTAATTTTTCATTGTACCATTTGCATATTCCGTAAATTACTTGTTTTCCATCTTGCTTAAAGCATACAACATACAAAACAAAACAATTTCTAACTACAGTGGTATTCTTCCAAAATCTTTGAGAAAGCCTTAGTAGTTATTTTTCGTGATTGCTGCATCCCCCGTCCGCCGGCGAAATCTTGAGCAAATTTACGGATTCCCAAGTAACCTTTTTATTTAGGTCGGCTAGTGTCCGAGAGATGTCGCACATTAATAATTTAAGTTTTGGTCGCCAGATGTCACCCCTAGACATTACAACCCTTTAATTTAGTTTGACTCGAGATGTCACCCTTAATGGAGTAGGGAGTATTTTTTGTATTTGTACTTTTTTTGGCAAATTTTTTTTCGTCCCCTGTACTTTAAGTCGCGGGAGGCGAGCCCGGCCGACGGCGTTGCCTTTATATCGCGGAGCGAGATGATTAGATCACCGAGGTCGCGCGTGATCTTCGTAAATTATAAGATGCTGCTAACAGGTTTCTTATCTCTAGATTCCACTCGCGGCTTGTTTTTTTTGTTCATTAAATAAAAAGCTGCAGCGAAAAATACGTTTAATGACACTCACATCGAACAAATTTTGTTGTTAAACGTGTATTATATACAAAACCCTTCGAGACAAATATAAGCGTCATAAATATGGGCCAACGATATGCATCAATAAATAATTAGTTTTAATTTTTTACGCTAGGCACGTATATGGACATAAATAGATGCATACATTGTGACATCGCCGCCCCGTATAAGTTGGTAGCGTCCAAGTACATAAAGTAAGAGGTAGAAGGAAGGTAGGTTTGGAAGGATCGTAATTAAGTAAAAATTTATTATTAGTCCCGGCCTTTCTTACACTACACTGACTGACTCCTCCGCAAATACCGTGCTTCAAGAAGTGTACCATGTCACCCTCGGTCAACAGATCCAGTTCGACCTTTGTCGCTTGTCCAAGATAGACCCGGGTCGTATAAAACTGACTCGGGTCCATACCGGACGTTCTCAGATACACCTCTCTGAGGTTTTCAAAAATATTGGCTAAAAGTAAAATGTCAGATTTTAAATAAATATCGGAATATTCGCTTAAAGTTTTACATTTGAACAAATACCACACCGTTCAGGGATGCTTGTAATCCTCCCTGGTTATGTTGCTTTTTTGCATGGAGTCATAAAAGTCCTCGTGCGATGGTAGTTTCCTCTAATTTTGAAAAAGAATCTAGGTACGTATTTGGAAAGACGCCCTTCTGTCGAATAAGCTGAAATTCTTGTCCATTTGTAAAAAATTATTTGACTTCACAACATTGACTATCATTTAAATTTCGACTCCATTTGTCCAAGCTGGACGCCATAAATCGAAACGAATCTAAAAATCGGAGTTTTAAAAATACCTTTTTCCTTTGCCTCCTTTCTCCGACTACATGTTATCGACTAAGATATGTTTCGTAAAGGAAATGATTGTATCAAAGTCCGCGTACACAACAAAAGACACTTTTAATTTCTTTTCAAATTCTTCAAATTTCAACTTATTCGCGGGAACATCTGTACCGTATCCTTGCGCAATTTGGTGGTCGGAAGTTTGATGGAAATGTGAGTGCAGTCGTACTCTTGATGACGCTTAAGTTACTAATTAATAAGAGGTTGACATGCCTCTCTTTACGAAATTCGGTAAAATGCAAAGGACCAACAACTTCAACATCATTAAGGCCTTCATTATAGACTCTCTCGAGGTCATAGACGTTGACCGAAATGTCATTAGGTCGTTCAAACATGGGTATGTCCCTTAGTTTAACGGGAAAATCGATACCTGTAAAGTCCAGCTCGTTCTGAAACTCTACATAGTCACTGACCCTGTTGACGTTATCTGTCCGTTGGACTGGGTGAAGAGCAGCCAAGATCGACCACAAGTATTTTTCGTCCGTGTTTTGAACGTTCAAAACATATTTCTTTGCTTCAATATCCTTGGGCAGGCTAATATAGGACGACGCCCTTAGAGGATTGTACTTGTTAATCCCTATTTCTAAATGGAGGAGTTTCTGCAAAGCCCAGCCTGTAAAAAAGGGTCAATTTGGAAATAGAATACATTTTTATCAATCATACCGCTGTCTCTTTCCTGAAACTCGGAAGCTTTAACAGCCAGGATGTCGCGGAACTGGACGTACAGCTCCTCTATATCGGTGTTACCGCTGACCAGCCGATATTTGGTATTAAAGGACTTGGCTTCCACCTGCCCACATACCGACTTTTACGTTGTCGTAGCGTCGGACGTTCGACTCAACCAATGTAAGGACTTCGGCCCTAAGGTGTTCCAAGAAACCCTTTACGTCTGTAGAATTAACAGCCGACGTCAAACAATATATAGCTATGCGGTTGCGGAAGGGGGTCTGCATTATTTCCACTCCTTCCTCCTGCACCATTCTGCATTTTTAGCGGTGAGCCAAAGTACGCAAGTGTACTTGCCATCGCATTGCGGGAATGGTCAAGTTACACTGCATACAATGGTGCGTGGATGATGGTGATGATGTCGAAGCTATAAAATATAATAATGTGAATTGTTTGGAATTTAAAAACAAAATTCTTACCTGCGGTAGGTCAAGTCTCGGACGCTTGAGTCCGCCGGCAGCAATAGCGGCAGCGGCGGGTCTTTTCGCTTTTGGGACCTCATGTTTCTCACCTTGATGGTGTCGGAGGGCCCCCTCGAAGTATATCCCGCCGCAAACGTTACAAATTTGTACTGCTGCGCGACAATCCCCGTGCCTCGCGATGTGGTCTTTACGGCTCAACAAGCGGTAGCAATATTCGCAGGGGAACATTATTTTTCTGCAAGGAATAAGCGTCTCACTTCCGAACTATTCCGGTATTACTGAACACTTACCTTTTTTAAGCGGTCAAACACAAAAAAAAAATCAAAAGAATGAAGACTGACTCCAGCGGCTGTAAGTTATTAATAACGTCATTTCCTTTCGCGATAACGAATTTAAAATAATGCAAACATTCGATAACGTTCCTTCCGGTTAATTAAGATATTCTCCGGAAGTGCTTATCATATCTGTTTCGGATCTATCGAAACCTGTCCCTTTAGACGTTTTGGACCTGCTCGAGAGCTGTTGCGTAGATATTTTTGGACCTAATTTAGATCTGACCACGAGCTCTCAAACGACTGGAAATATTTACACATTACAGTTACTAAATATTTTTTACAATTTTATGCAATATGTCCTGGAGCCAAATTTTGAAAATATCCGATTTTTGCTTTGTATTCCTCCGCACGAAAGCGGAGATTGGTCTGAACAAGTGCTATCTGAGTTTCGAGCTGCTTGATACCTTCTTCGCATTGCGTCAGCTGATTTTCCAAATTGTTTTTCAAATTGAACGCTTCACAAACTACTTTCTTTTCGTTATCATCTTTACACGCCTCCAACCATTCACCTTGTGCTTGCGGTAGAGATTCAATTTTTCTTTTCTTAACTCGGGAATTTGCACCAATACACTTGCAATAAATTAAAAAAATTGTCCGGCAAGATAATTTCTTCCATGTCGGACGCTCACAAAATCAAAACTAATAAAAGAAATTTATAGGATATTCGCCGAGTCGATCCATGAATCATGTGACTTGTCCAATCCCAACCAGCGCACTAGAAACTGATTTTTCGACGAGATAAAATTCGTACTGTATTTGTTGATCCATTGTGTATATCCTTTTTGTTGTGGCAAAAGTTTATAAAGTTGGGAACTGATATCTGCCTGATAGCTCTTAAATTTCTTCTCGAGCTCCTCTATATTGGATAAATGTTTTTCCAAATTGTTCATTGAATTATCGAATTTCTCGTTAAGGTGGTGATGAATGTGTGTACCAAATGTATTAATAGTCATGACGGCGGTTGTTGCTCAAATAGTTTTCTAACTCCCAGTCGTGCTTATTTTATAAGATAACTTTTCCCTGGTTCTTCAATAATTGAAACTATTTCGTTCTCATGACCCGTGTGCCCCGCAGCGGTAGATGCCAGTAACAGTCTTAATCTATCAACAAGTTCGTTAACATTATCCCAAAAAATATAATCTGTATTTTCTTTATTTGCTTTCAAAGTCAGCCTGTCCCACTTCTGTCTCTTCTATAAGGCGGTGGCAATTTAGAAAATGCGTCAGCTAGTCGTCTCACCGGGTTTTTTTGTTTTTGTTGTTCCTCGCTCCTGTAAGTATCCAATTATATTTATATATTTATATGATGTGTTTCCTTGCACTTGTTCATTAGGGTCATGGTTTCTGCGATACGCGTTTGTTCTTTTCAGTATGTCCATGTAATTATCTATCTATCTTTCGTTTTGAAACTGACAGGTACCTTCTTGAAAAGTAACTCGTTCAAACCTACGATTCCGAGATATGTAATTCCTTGTACCTTTACATCTTTACCGACAATTTCTACAGCTTTTTGGATTAAACCCGGAAAAAAATTACCGTTTTCTATGTCATGAACGATACCATAATTATGCTCAAATATATGTTGGTACCTTTTACGCTGTCATCAATATATGTCCGCGGTAATTTATCAAAGCCAGTCAACCATTGCTCG